AAAAAGAAAAAAGGATTAACTACTCTAGGCAGATAGATCTAATTGGTATTTAGTTGCAATCAATAGGTTGATTTTAGTGGAGGGAGGAAAAAACAGAGAAACCCGTGGAAAATATAAACCTTCGAAGCACAGAGGGAACCAACAAAAAAATCTACTCTCATACGACGCCGGAGTCAGGGAATCAAACCCCTTATTACTCTGCATGGCGAGAGGCGAGCACTCTAAATGTTCAGCTTCTAACAGAAATTTTAGAAGTAGCAAAACTAAGAACAAAAAATCCTATCGGATTAAAAAAAAAAAAAAAGATTAACTACTCAAGGTACGACGGACAGCCTAACAAATTTGCAACCCACTCGATAAGGCTACCGATAGATCGATAGATCAATAGGTTGATTTTAGTGGAGGGAGGAAAAAACAGAGGAAACCATGGAAAATAAAAACTCTCGAAGCACAGAGAGAACCAGCAAACAACTCTACTCACATACGATGCCGGAGTCCGGGAAGCAAACCAGTATCACCCTACATGGTGAGAGGCGAGCGCTCTAAATGTTCAGCTTCTAACAGAAATTTTAAAAGTAGCTTATCTTGACACGAGTAAAAAAAACGTCTACGCATTCCGAAGTCCGTATGCAAATGAGTAGACAACTCCTTTGTGCTGTTGTAAAAATGGACAAATTTGACTTTTTGGGGAGTCAGGATGGTGTGGTGATAAGTCACCCCATGTGAGCTGAGTTGGCTGGTTCTCTTTCTGACTTCGAAGAATTTTCCGCTCCGGTTTTTGCTTCCTCCTCTCAAATCAACCCTAACTAATTCAAAATGGTTATAGCTATGCTACGGGATCATACGTCGACTATTTCAGATGAACCCCTGTGCGCGCTACCTTAAAATAATAAATTCGTTGATAGCAAAGCAATGTACTTTAATACGGTTGGTTAACCTTATTGGTTATTGTAATTCCCCTCCCAATTTAAAAAAAAGTGATATTTATTCTTTTTCCATGTAATTATGCAAATCAGTTTTAAAATGAAAGTGTTAATGTTGTTGTTGTTGTTGTTGTTGTTGTTGTTGTTGTTGTTGTTGTTGTTGTTGAAAAAAGGCCACTTTCAAGATATTGTTCTAGCATTACATTGACGAACAAAGCATCAGCTTATATAAGCCGCTCCGAGGTTAAGAAAAAAAGATGGCCGTAAGCCAAATGGCCAAAGCCGTAAGAGTACTATGGAGAGAACGAAATCCTGACTGACAATTGGCTAAACGTTTATTATCATTTAAGAAAGTATAAAGTTGATCATAAACAATTTTTCCAAAAATCTTTGCGACTATGGGCATTACCGAAATTGGGCGGTAGTTATTAAAGTCAGATTACACTCGCCTGCTTCCATTCTCGAGAAAAAAAACCCAGTATTAATGGAGCGATTAGAAATGGCGATGAGCGAAGGCCCAACAATGTCTTAAAATAGCCTGAAGAATTTTGCCACTAATTTGCATACCAAGTACGGACATGCGCAGTCGACGTGTTCACTTTCGTCTCTGCAGCCCAAATAGAAAAATAGCAAAAGCCCACGAAGGCAACTTGAATTCCAAAAATATTCCAGATATTTCCTATCACTAACTCTTGGATTAGGCCTCGTCCAACACGTATCCGGATAATTTTGAACCCGCAACTTTTTTGTTGCGGATTTAAAAAAATTCGCGTCCATAAGTAGCGTATTCGAATCGTTTTAGACCGTTCGCACGTATCCAATACGTATCCGGATATCAAAATCTTAGGCCAACAGAGCATGCGCACTTGAGCATGACCATGAGCCCGCTCTAAATATCTCGCGCGGAAAAGACACTGTTACGTCAGCGTTTTCAAAAATATGTGGACGCCGGATTCACGCCTTATTCAAAAGTTTCCACTCTGGAGACCGTATTCAAGAAGTTGCGGATTCCTCTACCGTATTCACCGGATACGTGTGGACGGAAGGCAAATCTGCAACAAAAAAGTTACGGTTTCAAAAATATTTGTATACGTGTGAACGGTGCCTTAGTTTGAAGTCATATGTACTTATTGACTGACTGGGAGGGCCGTACGCGAACATATTTGGCTCGAGGTGATGCCGTACGGATCAAGCGCAGCGAGGTCCATACAAATGACCGAGACCCAAATATTTTCCCGTACGGCCCAACCTAACTCAGTCAATAAGCATTTTATCATATGACCCTCACGAAAAGAAAAATAATAAAAGAATAGAAAGAAAATACGGTCGCAGGTTTCGAGCAGGGCCGTACGGATTCGCAYRCCCCCTCTCGCTCAAAGCCGTACGGCCCTGCTCACGTCATTTTCCCGAAGGTTTTTTTAAGAGCGCGCGCCTGGGCAGATACGAGTCATATGATTAAAAAATTCACCGCCCTCTTGAACAGCTGCTTAGTCACAGCTCATTTAGGATACGGCTCTAATTGGTAGCAAATTCTACTCTCACATCCTTGATGCTTTTACATGAACTCGACTCTGTATATAGACAGATTGGGTAAACATGGTAGATCTAAGGTAGTGTTTTAAGTACGTAGATTGCATGCACTCAACGCTCCTTAGTTAAAAAATCATGTCCAATGTTTTTCTATAAGGCATGAGAGTAATTAACATTTTTAAAAGACTAAGAAAATATTTCCGTACGCCAATTCATTATAAATCTTATGTATTATTTTGAATATATATATTAACTACAAGCTCATTTCCTTAGTAAAAAATACATGGAAAAAA